TAAGTATTTGTAGGCTTCATTTTCGTTGCATTTAATTAGTTGGCCATTTCAATTCCCTCACTGAAGTGATTTTGCCCCTTTTTATGGATACAGTGGTGCATTTTTCCATGCCAAACTGCATTGAAATATCGGTGCTGAATACTCGCACTGTGTTTGTCAATGATTGGATTTCTATTTCTGACTTTCCATCATCATCATCATCATCATCATTATGGTTTGTCACAGAGAGAGTCAGATGTTTAGACTGAACTTGACATTTTTATCCCCTTATTCAAAGACCTATGATATATAGTTGTTTGAAGGTGGATTTGGCATTTAAGTCCACTGTTATTGTTATATAAAATATAATTAATTGTGTTGTGGACACTTCATGGAGGGAACACCCAATCTAAGATTAATAGTCTCCATCCAGGCTTTTCTTTATAAAAAGCATCCTACATATAACCTCTCACCCTCCTCCCCCAAATACACAATGTGACTTCAGTTCAGCTAGCAGTAGTTTTCTTAAAGCTTTACCTCAATAAATAGGCTACAAGTTCACTTATACTTCTCCTCTTCCAAAAAGTTAAAGCTGCATTCAGCCGGAGATTTCTACTGAAGAGAACTTGGGCCATTGTATCATGATCTTCAGAAACCTAGAAACAGAATAGTGTAAGTGTTATAAGTCCAGAACTATGATTTTCTAAATTTTCTATCAGATGAGTCTATTAAAAATATCTATATGCTAAGTTGTTTAATGATAAACATTATCCCAGAACATTATTTCCATCAATGGAAGCAACTGTTGGTCATGGAATAGGAAGGATGATTTTTGAGCCTGAAAGAAAGACCATTGGCTTACCTGAACGGTCGTTCTCAAGGCGCTGCGAGGAGAGTCCAAGCATGGGTTAACACAGTCTATCTGCCCTAGGACTGAGTGAGTTTTTTCTCTTGGCCACGCCTCCCTTTACCTCCATTATTCAGTTTAAAAAAAGAGGAACCACTGAGCAGGAAGCCCGTACACAGTCGAGTCCAATCATCACCCGCGCATCTGCGAGGACCTGGGGCGGGATTGGACTCTCCTCGCAGCGCCCGGAAAACGACCGTTCAGGTAAGCCAACGGTCTTTCTCCAGTGTGCTGCTTGGAGAGTCCAAGCGTGGGACATGCCCAAGCTATATTGTCCCCGGGTGGGAAGATACTTGAGTCTCCGGAGCCGCCACAACCTTCTGTAGAACCCTTCATCCAAAGGAGGCTTCGGCTGAGGCAAAGGTGTCAATCTTATAGTTCCTGATAAATGCAGTGGGAGAAGCCCACATGGCTGCTCTGCATATGTCAAGAATAGATGCCTGGGTCGCCCAAGCCGCAGAAGTGGCAGCGCTCCTCGTCGAATGCGCAGTCACCCGGCTAGGCGCTGCCCTGCCCTGATGCTCATAGGCAAGCTTGATGCAGGCCCGCAACCAATGTCCAACGGTGTGGGAAGATGCTTTGCAACCAAGCGAACCCGGATGAAAGGACACAAAAAAGGAGTCTGACCGCCGAAACTCTTTGGTCCTCTTAACGTAAATCCTGACAGCGCGTATCACGTCCAACTTGTGCCAGTCACGTTATTTGGGATGTGATGGCTTGGGACAGAAATCGGGGAGGATTATCTCCTGAGCCCGATGAAACACAGTGTTGACCTTTGGAATAAACGTGGGGTCAAGCTGCAGGATAACTCTGTCAGCGTGAATGATGCATAAATCTGACCTGACTGATAGAACTGCCAACTTGGACACCCGTCGAGCAGACGTGATGGCCACCAGACATGCCGTCTTGAGCGTCAGATGGTGAAGACTCGCCTGTCGAAGCGGCTCAAACGGCGCCCCCGTCAAGGCTCAGAGAACCAAAGGTAGGTGCCAGGATGGGTATCGGTGAACAGCTCGGGGGCAGATGTGCGACACTCCCTTCAGGAAACTCTTGACCTGCGGGTGTTGGCTCAAGGGCCGGGAGGACCCCCTGATCAGGATGGTAGAAAGGGCCACAACCTGATGCTGGCAGCCAGACCCCTGTCCAAACCCTCCTGCAGAAAGTCCAGCAGCTGGGGAACAGACACGGACACATCCCTTATGCCCTGCCTCTGGCACCAGGAAGAAAAAGCAATCCAGGTTGCCTCGTATATCCTGGTGGTCGAAGGCCTTCTGGAAGCTTGGATAGTCTGAATGATCTTGTCCGAGATCTTCTGCCTCCTCAGGAGCTCCCCTTCAAGTGCCAGATGGCTAGTTGCAGGCACTGGGGATCCGGGTGGCGAACCGCCCCCTGGCAGAGGGAGATCTGCTCCTGCGGAATCCTTCACGCGCCTTCTGCAATGAGCTTGGATACCACGTGCGGAATGAGAGGTAGAGGAGGGAATGCATACAATAGTCCTGGGGGCCACTTGCACCTCAGTGCATCTGTCCCCTCCGCCCACTGAGAACGGTATCGGGAGAAGAATCGTGGCAGATGTGTGTTGGCGTTTATGGCAAAGAGGTCTACTTGCGGTTTGCCGAATCTCCTCACAATCTGTTGGAACAGGTCCGGATGCAGTTGCCATTCGGAGTGGTTGATCTGCTGCCTGCTCAACCAATCTGCCTCCTGATTGCTGGACACTGAGATGTAGTCCACTCTGATGGATGCCAAATGGCATTCTGCGCACCTGCCCAGAGATTCCGCCTCCACCATGAGCTTTCTGGAGTGGGTACCGCCCTGCCTGTTTATGTGAGCCTTCGTGGCCACATTGTCCGTCAGCAAGAGTACATGGTGCCCCAACACCAGGCCCGAGAACCGCCTTAGGGCGAGGCGGGCGGCCCTCAGCTCCAACCAGTTTATGCTTTGGGAGGCTTCCCTTTGGGTCCACAGTCCCTGTGTGGCCCTGACAGTGAGCCCCCCACCCGATGAGGCTGGCGTCAGAAGTCACCACAATCCGCTTGGGTTCCTTGAAGAGGCACCCCCTCTCGACTGCCGCCATCCTCCACCAGGCAAGGGACCGGATCACCTTGGGGGGAGGCTTCACCCATCTCAACGAGTTGCTGGTCTTGGTCCTCTGCATCATCAGGAGAAACCATTGCAGCTCCCTGGCATGGAGACGTGCCCAGGGGACCACCTTCAAACAGGAGATCATGATCCCGAGGAGCTGCGACAGCGTGATGATCGGCAACAACTTGGATCTCCGACACTGCTGTACTCTGTGTCTGGGGTTCTGCAGGCGGTCTGGAGAGAGAAACACCTGACAGGTGAGAGAGTCTATGACTGCACCTAGATGTTGGATGTGTGTGCTCGGCTCCAGCTGGCTTTTGGCCAGATTCACTGAGAAGCCGTGTAGACGCAACGTGTGAATGGTCAGCTGGACGCCTCGCCTGGCCTGCTCCCGGCTTGCGGAGTGAATGATGATATTGTCCAGGTAGCACTCCAGACGAATTGGGTGATCCGAGATGCGCCGCTACCACCACCAGGATCTTCGTGAAGGTCCTGGGCGCAGACAAGAGGCCGAACGGCAGTGCCCAGTACTGGTAGTGCCTTCCATCGTAGACGAACCTCAGGACCTGTCTGTGAGCCGCGTGAACCGAAACGTGCAGGCAGGCCTACTTTAGATCTATTGGCGTGAGAAGATCTCCACGCCTGATGCAGTCCAGAATGAAGTGGAGCGACTGCATCTTGAAGCTTTTGAACGCCAGATGCTGATTTAGACGTTTCAGATCCAATATGGCCCTTCACCCCACTGAGCTTTTGGGGACTAAGAACAGTATGGAATACAACCCCTGCCTCTCCTGTTCTTGGGGAACGGGTTCTATGGCCCTGATCTGGAGAAGATGAGCAATTTCCTCCTGCATAAGGGACCTCTTCAGGGGACTCTTTGGGGTTGGGCACCGGATGAAGGTCCGTTGCGGAAAGGAGAGGAATTGCAACACCAGGCCCTTCCTGATCGTGTTGAGTACCCAGGAGTCCGTGGTAATCTCCTCCCACACGTCAGGGTATAACTGTAGCTGACCCCCTATGGGAGGACCCCTGTGATGGTCACATGCCCTTACGGAACTGGCGGGAGTTGTTCCCACCATGGTACGGCTTCCGAAAGGAATGCTGCTGATGTTGCCTGCCGCGTGACCCAAAGGAACTCCTGTCCTAATTCCTATCTCACCCCTGGGAATAGGGTCTCTGATAGGCGGAAGAAGTGGACAGCTGATTGGCGTCCAGGGCCCAAAAGGACTGCTTCCGAAAGGAACCAGAACCCTTGCGGTCACCCTTCTTCAAGGTGGCTGGAAGAATCTTACGTTTGTCCTTCGTCTCGATGACAAACTGGTCCAGGGCGTCCCCAAAAAGCTGTCCCCCTTTAAACGGGGCGGAAGCAAGCTTCCACTTGGCCTTCATGTCGGCTTGCCAGTGACGAAGCCACAGCAGCTGATGTGAAGTGACATTGGATGCCAATGCCCTAGACTAGAGGCAAATTTTGCAGTGTTCAATGAGGCATCCACAGAGTATTCCACAGCCGTAATCATCTTACTGAGGTCATGCTTCCACTGGGATTCCCCGGCGGGAGGCCTAGCCCTCCACTGCCTGAGCCAAAGAAGGGACGCCCTGATGAAGAAAGAGGCTGAGGTGGATGCCCTGATAGCCCAGGCGGTCGCCTGGTGCGTTTTATGGCAGGCCTTCTCAGAACGCTTATCCTCCGCCTTGAGACCTTCCAGGAGGTCACCCGGCAGGTTCGAGGACGATGTTAAGGAAACCACCGATGCATCCACCTCGGGGAGTTTCAGGACATCCTCCATTTTACTCTCCACGGAATAAAGGGATTTATCCCTCCACTAGGATTGGTCAAGGTACCACATCCAAAAACAGATCTGGAACTGGAATTAGCTCCTGAGTGGGAGTGGTCTCCTTGAACAAACCTTCCTTGGGATCCTTGGTAGAGGAGGATGCAGCAGCTGTAACCTTAGGGGTAGAACCTAAGTCGGTAGCCGCCTTGGCCTTATGCAATATGGACTTAAATAATGTTGGTTTGAACAATCCAGTAAAGGCTGGCTTGTCGGGAGGCAAATTTTCATCCTCCAACAATTCAAAACTTCCAGCCTCCTCATTCTCCCAGACCGACTCCTCCATGGCGACCGAAGTCCCCAGAGAAGCCGGAGCCTGAGCGGAACTCGAGGCCTGCTTAGACCTGGGGGTCCCAGAAGCCCCCGCCTCCCTGTGCTTAATGCCTTCAGCGATCCCTTGGGATATGGCAATAGACCTCTCTCATCTCTGCAGACAAGGCTGAGCCTTTGTCCTCCCTAGGCCAAGGCCTAGCTGGGCCAGGCCCTTCCCTATGCCTCTCTGAGCTGGATCTCTCCTCAGCAGGAAGGATACCTTGGAAGGGCCCCAGCTCCTCCCTGATAGAGGAGCTGGGGGAATCGGGTAACCCCAGGATGCCTCTGGGGAGTCACTCCCAGATCCTTCGCCCATCAGGGAAGGGGACTTGCTGCCCTGGAAGGAGTGCTGCATTTCCCCATGACACATGGGCAAGCCCACCTCGTGGCCTACAGACACTGGAGACCCTTGCGGTTGTGGGGCTTTAACCTCAACAGGCCCTGCTGGTCGGGAACCCTCCCTGGCCCTTTCACCAGTCCCAGAGGTCCCCAGGGAGGCCTTCCTACAAGCGCCCTTCCCTCCTTTACTTCCCTTGGTTTGAGGGGCTAGCTTGCTGTGTTTAGCGGAGGGCCCTGCCTGCGCCTCCTGGCCATCGTCTGCCATGATGTTCTGTGCAGACCAGAACTTTCCCTGTAGCAGCTGGCAAAGGTGTGCCCGCAGACCAAACAGGGAGGAGAGGCCAGATTCCCTCCTCCTGGCACCCTCGGAGGTTCCGAGCGGTGGGGAAATAGGAAGGCAGGCCTGGCCGGTGCCCCAGACAAGGCCCATATTCCTGGCGGCGGTCTGCAGCTGAGTGGCTTAACAAGGTCCTCTTCCTCGCTCTGACGGGACACAACTGCTCTCTCCTTCCACGAGGCTCAACCAAAATGGCAGCTGATGCACGCGCAGCTGCAAGTGAAAGCGTGCAAACTACAAAAAATGGCTTCCGGGCAAGAGGAACACCGCCGCCTTTGCCGGAGTGCCCAAGCTCACCGCGTGAGCCTGCGATGGCCCAGCGGGGATCAGCGCTGGTCGGGAAGCCTCCCACCGTCCCCTCGCTTGCCAGCTCTCACTGGACAAGCGACCTCTAGTTCCCGCCCGCGTGCGACCAGCGGGGAAAGAAACGGCCCGGAGCCCACTCAGCAAACAAATTATCTGTAAGTCCATCTTCCGATCCTCATAGAACACCTGAAAGAAAAAACTGAAGCTAAACCTAATTTCAACTAAAATACAACCAATTTAGACTATATAGTTAACGTGGGGAGTCCAGTTATCTGCTCTAGGACTGGAGCGCTCCCCAGAACAGTCCAAACGGGCGGACTGAGTTTTTTAAACTGAATAACGGAGGCAAAGGAAGGCGTGGCCAAGAGAAATAACTCACTCAGTCCTAGGGCAGATACACTGTGTTAACCCACGCTTGGACTCTCCAAGCAGCACACTGGAGAATGTACATGAATGGATTTTTTAATTTTAATTATTAGATTTAAAAATGCATTGTTCCAGACAACCAAGTGTTCAGCTTTTTGTTGAACTTTACACATACAGAAACTTGAGTTGTTGCCAGATATTGCTCTAATTTGCATGTTGCTCTATAATAGAAGGAACCAAAAAAAAGGTTGTTGCATTAGCCAACTTTATGTAGCCATCATATTCTGTCTGTCTTTTGAAATAAAGACAGAATGTAGTCACAGCATGACGGCATTATTTCCAACAGTGGTAACAATTACAAAAAAGAAATAGAATGGAAAAAAGCATTTACAGTAGATTTTCAATTACACACTAGTTCTATTCACACTGAGCTGTTTTCTTTATGTTATGGAAAATATTATTTTCCAGTAATATATAGTTACAATTTTTGAATGATGCTCTAATCTTGGTGTACTCTGAACAGTAAAACAGAAAAAATAAAACATAATAATAAATAAATAAATCAGTAGTTGACCACAATCATATTAAAGACCAAAAGATAGTAGAAACAGAAGTTGTTTTTGAATGAGCCGTAAGCACCTCTGGGGAAGATAGTTCTGAACATGGAGGTTATCACTGAGAATCTTAATGCCCAGCCAAACCTCTGGACTTTGAAGGATTTGGAATTTCAAAGGTTCTTTTCCGTATATACAGACTGGATAGACAGAATCCTATTTGATATGTTAAACCTGATATATCCCATTGCCATGGGGCTTTATAGCCAATGAAAAACATGCTGAATTTGGCCAGAAAACATATGGAACTGGCAACCAATGTGTGCCCAAGGCAAGACTAATTCTGCTGTAGAGAGTTCTCAGAGTTATACAGAGTTAATAGTCTATTGCTGTATTCTGCACCAGCTGAAGCTTTGACTTCAAAGGCATTCTGACATGATGCACACTGAAGAAATTTGTTAACGCAGTAATAAGGGCCTACGTTACAACCATATCATAAGGGCTTAGAGGTCAATTTAGGGTGCACCAGGCAACACCGCCTCCAGCAGCACTTCTACCTTCTACTGCAGAAAGACTGAGATCCAAGAAAAATTCCAAGATACAGATCCTTCAGGAAAACATGATTCTGTCAAAAACAACTATTGGGATTAATGTTCCCAGATAACTTAGATGTTAATGTACAAACAGCACCACAGTCTCAGTATGTAGTACTGAGTTTTAGTATGAATTTGCTTCTCCCTTTCTATTCCCAGGCAACGTCTAGATCTTGCAATGCTAAGTTATTATATTAAATAATGTTGGTATTAATAAAATGAATTATATCCAGTTCTATAATTATGCTGGTGGATTATATTTACTCACCGGTACATCTTCCCCTTACAGTTCTCATTATCCCTAATCTGAAGCAGATATGGGTAATAGGTGGTTTATAGCAAAGAATAATCAAACCCTAACATGCATAGAAAAAAAGAGGAAGGTAAACAGGGTTGTATTGTCTTACATTCATAAATTTTTAAAAAGATAAAACGTTTGATTTACCTCTGAAAAAAACCCACTGTATTTTGATGAAGGACTCTCTGTTTGAGATCGGCCAGCATCACTGGAGTTCAGTAACAAAGTACGACCATTAGGAGGCAATTTGGCTGGCAGGTTACCTGCACAGGCTAGTTCATTTTCCTTATTTGCCATGTCACGGCCTCTAGCTTTAGGGAGCTGTTTCTTTCTGAAACAAGGCTTTGGAGAATAATAGTGAGCCTTTTTTCTACAATATACTACTTTGAACAGAGAACGAGGGCTGGTTAGAGTTTGTCCAACTGTTGTTCTGCAAGAACAAGAAAGTTCATTTAAAATTTGAATATAAAACATCCAAGCAATTTATAAAGTCACATGCAATCTTAGAATCATTTGTGCCATTTTGCATTTACTATGAGAATACTATTAGACATGTAAGTTTGCTTCACATCTGGCGTGGGAAATACTATTTGAAGCATTAGCCCCTAAAAATGTCTATGCTTATATCTCTCCCCAAGACATAAAAAGTTGAAGAAAAATAAGGATACAGCAATAAAAATATCCTATTCACCATCACCCACCCTGCTAACATTTGCACAATACACTGGTCCACCAAAGATTGGCATCATTTTTGACCAATTGCTGTATATAGCTTGGCAGTCACAATCAGAGGCCCCTGGAATTGGAACAGTAAAAGCAGTTTTGGTTGGTTAATTATTTTTCCTTATAGTCAACCACCAAACAGGTCTATAGGTATGGAAATTAAGTTCCTTATAGACCAATTTACATGACCAGGATACTTCCTTCAGTGTGACAAATCAGTTTTATCAGATGCCTCTGACATTAAGACAATGCTATTTTTATCCTAATTAGAGATGAGCACCAAGAGATGGAATGGGACCAAAACTATTTCCAGTCATGCCAAAGATGCTAAAAGCATTTAGTTCTAAGGAACCTGGACAAAAATGTCCTCTTTTGATAGTTTCAATTGATTATTTAAATCAGAATGATTTCTAATCACACTAGTCTTTTCTCACAATCAATCAACCAAGGTAGCTCTCACCTGCTTGTGCAAGAAGCCAAATGTTTTGCAGATTGCTTATCCTAGAAATAAAGATAAAAAATATTACCAAGAACAACACACACTAATAGTAATACCTTATTTCACCCATATTTTTAAAATGCTTTTTCACTTAGTTTTGATACTATTTGGAGAAAATCAAGTTAGTTTTGGCTTCAGAAAAATAAAATTACCAATGGCAACCCTAACTATTTAACTGAAGTACAAGATATTATGGCATCCATGAGGCAGAAGAGATTATGACATCAGAATGAGAAAACTTTGTACTACATCAGGAGTATAATGTCATTTTTGACATATAGAAAAAAGTCTCATTAAAATCATTATATAACAATTAAGAATGTATTGCAATCTATACCAATGGCTTAAAAATACAGTATATGACTTACTTCAGAATATCAATTTAGTTAGCATTTATTGTGAAACTAGATTATTGAATAAATGGATGCTTTAACATTTAATATTCTGATCTGTAATATAGTATTTTCACAAAAAGAGTAGGATACAAGTGGTGTTTTAGTTAAAAGGACTTTTATCAATATAAACAACATTTTGTTTGCCACCTTTATGTTCACAAGTTAAAAACATTCCAATTTAATTTACAATCTGTGTGGTATGAGCAAAATTGCATTTCAACTTCTTCATTTTACAACAGCACTACTGCTGAACATTCAGAATCTATAATATAATCTATAATATGGATTGCTGTAGTATAAACTCTTTCCATTTCTGGTCTTTGGGGTTCTGTTACTTCACATATTTGGATTCATTAACATTTCAAGATATAAGCCATTAATCGAAGAAAAGTCTAGCATTATTATAGTACAATAAATTATTGGTATGGGTGGAATGTGCAAAGGAAGCCTTTTAGAAACTTAATTAAAAGATAACCATTTATGTATTAATGATTAACATTTGTAGCTTGGGGGAATTAAGAACCTCAGATAATGTTTAACAGGAAGTGCCAGCATCCAAGTCTATTTGTCCCCAAATATTTCCAAATTCTACTACCATTTTCTGTTTCTTTTCCTATATTTCCATTTTTCCCTAGCTTACTTTACAGTTCTGTAATTCAGAAACTTCAATTGTAGAATGTCATCTTATCACTTTTTACAATCTATTATTAGTGAGCATGATTATGCTGAGTTCTAGTGCTACTGATCTGTCTGTCTGTCTGTCTGTCTGTCTGTATGTATGTATGATTCTAAGACAAAAGACTTTACTATAGTTTAATGAACAGGTAAAACTGTATGGATAGACGCTATTCCAAATCTCAAAGTGAACAGATTACTCTGATGCCTTTTAGAGAAGACTACCAACATACAGTATGCTTCTCAGAGATAATAAAATATTTCACAAAACATTTGCAATATAAATATATCAAAAATTCTCTTTAAAGCTGAGTTCTAATGGCTTAATGGACACAATAGTCTACTCTTCTTGATGTAGTTTATCAATGTTTTCTTTCAGGATAGTTTTCTTCCTTGCCTAATCTAAATCCCCGGAATTCTCCACAGATCTCCCTATACAAGTAGTACCATCTATCCACTATCCAAGACAAATCAATTCATTTGCTGCTATCTAATAAAATTAATGGCCCTTTATAAACAGCAGCTCTCTCACAATATACATTTACTAAACAGTAAAGTGACATGTATTAGTTTTTAAACTAGTATTCAAATACAAAAGGTAAGATTTAAACAAATAATATATGAAAAGCTTACCTCCTTCATATTCTCATTAAGGGAATGAGAGCTCCTTTTCTTAGGGAGATCAATAGGACGACCCTCAATACATAACAGGTTCCGTTTTCTAACATTTTGAGCTTCAGATGCCATAATCTCCACAATTCCTAATTTTGGAGAGAAAATTAATTTACAACCTTAATAATAGCTATCATATTTATACTCATATTTATAACGGTAGCAGTCTCCCAGGGTCACGTGATCACCTTTTGCGACCTTCTGACAAGCAAAGTCAATGGGGAAGCCAGATTCACTTAACAACTGTGTTACTAATTTAATTGTACTGATTCACTTAGCAACTGTGGCAAGAAAGGTTGTAAAATGTGGTAAATTAACAATCTTTTGCTTAGCAACAGAAATGTTGGGCTCAATTTTGGTGGTAAGTCAAGGACTACCTGTACTAAATGCTCAACAATCCCCCAAAAGAGAAAGCTAGAACCTGGGAAATACAAGTGCTGATGCAGAAAGAGTACTTTTAAATACCATTCATTAATACAATATTAAGAATACGATTACATTTGGATTCAGAACACGTCTAAACTTTCTTAGCAATGTTTAACATGTTCCTGTAATATTGCTTATAATAGTGAACAAATCTGTCTAAAAAGCGTGAAGTGAAACTTCCAACAAATATTGGATTATGAAAACAAATTTGTTCTCAGATAGCTGCAATATTGTAAAACTATTCCCAGAGTTCTTCTTAGCTTTAAATTCAAGTTCTACCAGATTTTATCTTGAAGGGGGGTAAAACCACTTTAAGTTCACATTTTGGATAATACAGAGAAAAGATATAAAAGAATACAGTCTAAACCTGAATGTTAAAATAGAACTGAATATCCTGTGTAATACTAAATTTATAGTTAAACTATGTGTTTTTACTAATTGTGCATATTGTAACCAGATCATAATGCAGATTGTACTGTGCACTGTAATTATTCTTTAGATATAAGATATAAAATTTTAAACCCTAAAAGCTATTTAAATTTTATTGTAAACTCCAGACCTGTTCACCTTAATGTTCATAATATGTACTTGTAGGTTATTTCTCAACTAACAAAGTAGTCAAAGATGGCTACTTAACAGACAAGGTTGAAGCTTCTGAGTATTGAGTATCAATAAGGAACTAGGCCAGTGAAGATGAACCTTTTGCTCACCATGGCAAACATTCAGAAAATGCCTTAATTTGACTCTGCTGGTCTGTCACCACCTCACAAAGAAATGATTGCATATTTGTTTATTTAAAAAAATATAGTCCAATCATGAGGTGCTATGTATTATATAAAGAAACATTAAATGGTTACAAACATGAAAAACAAGTAAAGCAAACTCATTTTCAAAGTTGTGCTTTTGAGAAAGTTGTTGTCAAGTGTTGGTGTGACATATCACCTTTGTTTGACACATGTCATATGTTTGCCATCAATGAACTAAGCCAGAGGTCCCCAATCCCCAGTTGACACAGATCTGCGGCAGGGGTGGGTTTCAAAATTTTTTACTACTGGTTTGGTGGGTGTGGCTAGATGGGGAGCATGTGACTGAGTGGGCATGGCCAACTTGACATCACTCACGCACACTCAGTCACATGCCCCCCATCACCAAGCCATGCCCACCGAAACAGTGGCAAAAGGTTTTGACCGGGGGGAAGCGCTAAGGGAGCACCTACAATAAAAAAGGATTTTGTCCTCCCCAGCCCCCAGGAACACTCTGGGGAAAGGCAAAAACACCTAGTTTTTGCAAAAAAGGGGGGGCAGAAAATGGACCATTTTTTGCAAAAACAGGCATTTTTGTCTTCCTCCAGCCCTGCTGAAACCTGCAGAATGCTTCTGGAGGCTGTGGGAAGGCAAAAACGCCTCCATTTTTGTGAAAAACAGTCCATTTTTTGCAAAAATGGGGGGATTTTTCCTTCCCACAGCCCTGCTGAAGCCTACACAGTCCTTCTGGCGGCTGGGGGAAGGCAAAACGCCTCCATTTTTGCGAAAAACGGCCCAACTCAGGGACCTCTCTGGAACTGGCATGTGCACACCATTAAAAAAGGGAAAAATTTATATTTTTTCAATGAAGATTGTTCTGTGCATATGCAGAACACAAAATAAAAGATGGTGGTGCCCAGGATAGAACCATTAGGGTCACATGTCTGGCTGAGTTACTACCTATTTGGCCGAACTGGTTGGAACCCACCACTGGTCTGCGGAATGCCAGAAACCAGGTCACGCAAACAAGCAGAGCCTCATCCACGGGATGCTGGCAGCACACAAAACCACACTCCCTCTGGTCCATGGAAAAACATCTCTCCCCGGACCCAGTCCCTGGTGCCCAAAATATTGGGGACTTCTGAGCTAGGAAAACTGTAGCACGTAATACTGTTAGGAATATTTCTAGTGATAATAATGAAATAAAATGAAATAATAAAATAAAGCTGCAAGCACTCCTGCCTGCCTCCTCTGCCCCTCCTCTTGCAAACTCCCGCATTCCCTTCTGCTGTTTGCTGCTCTTCCATTTGCATATATAAAATTAAACCAGCCCCAGGCTGTGGCACATCATGTTTCTACTGAAGCAATAGTCCTTTTTAATCCCATCACAGCCAAAACAATGAGAAAGCCCTCACCTATCGTCCTAAAGCCTCATCTAGGGTGCAGCCTTAAAGAGTTATGCATCTATTGATCATTGTGATAAATATGGTTCTTCTCCTCATCACTGTATTACTTTCTTCGGTCAGAGATCTCCATAACCGTTCACTGGATATTTTTCAGGCAGGAGGTAGACATGTATTGTACGGTAAGTCCTGCACATAGCAAAGAGAGGCCATGATGGCTTAAAGGAATCCTTTCTAGTTCTGATGGTGAGCAACACAAATATGGTAGCTTGGTGAACTCTGACTCTGAAACCCCTACATGTCCTACAGCACTAACGTGACATTGACAGCATACCTAGCTTCAAAATACAGCCCCAGATTTCCCCCCTCACTCTGTTTCTCTGAATTGTATTAATTATTATTTCACTGTGGGAGCTTAGTAGTGACTCTTGAAATATTTTTCCTTTTACAGTTGAGGTCTGAAACTTCTGGGATTCTGCACTATTTCAATGGGAATCCCCGCTCACTCTTCATCTGTTAGAAAAAAAGGCACTAATTGCACTCCTGATATGGTTTATCAGCCAGCAAACATCCCACCAGAAAATAGGGGAAAGAGAGATAAGTATACTCCAGTGGGTCGCTACGGGACAACATCTCTGTTACTTACAGGCATTAGACCAGCAATATAGGGTGTATTCGAGAATTATACTATCACTGTTAGAAAGAAAGCCAAAAAGTTAAAAACAGGTTTCCAAATAGTCTTGTCTTCCTTTTGTCATTCCCTATTTTTTGCAAAGCAATACTGCATTTTAAACTACAAGTCTGAAAAACAGGGTAGACATGTTTTACATACAAATCAAACATGTTGTAACACTGGAGGCCATCTGCTTTATTTAAGTTGAGGAGATCAAGTAATCAACTTAGAAGTTAAATCCATGGCTTTCATAGCACTATTGTATTTGAAATACTTTTTTACTTCAATATTTTTACATGTTCAAATTTGGCATAAGAACCATAATTAAAGAACACATGATAAAAGGATATCCCAGTATTACATCAATAAGGAACAGAGTCATTTATGGTACGTTCCCCAATCCGGCATACTCTAGGCTTCAATTTCTATAATCTGCCAGTGAAGATAACTGGATGATACCAGGTAAGGGAAGATTGGCTTACCTGTAATCATTTGCTGCATATGGTCTCTTCCACAGTACATGCAGCTATTCCTAGTTATTATTAAGACTTGTCTAGTCAATCTACTTAACTGTGTTAAAACTATCAGTTATTACATGAGTAATCTACCAGATTTAGAGCCTCTGTTCACATTTGAATATATGAACACATTTGCAGCCTATATTCACATTAAATTATTTTTCTGGAATGGATTTTTGAAAACATTTATTCCAGTAATTGCAGTTTTGCAATCTACTAAATTGTTCCAGGATGGCGCTTTATAGCAATCTCATTTTCTCATACAACAGAATAACTACCAGAATAGCTAGATAAAGTAATTATTTTACAATTACTTAACAGTCATTAGTTGGAATTATCTGCAAATTCACAAGCTTACATTATTAGATGTACCCCATTTTCAGAGTCAACATGATTAGCATTTTATGTAAAATCATCAACATCATAAAGGACAAGTTGTAAACCTTTTTTCAACTAAGATTTTGAAAAAATTGAATATTTTGATAATTGTGATTTAATACAAATTATGGATTCAAAAAAAAAGGAAAGCAATAATGATGGAAAATCCTATGCAGATGTTTTTATCCCAGGCCAACTATAATTTGATCAGAGCAACTATAATTTGATCAGAACACGTTAGCACAATACTGCCAAAATTTTATTTTATTATATTTAATAGGCCTTATAGGCTTTTCCAGGCTTGATAAAGACTATACAATTATAAGAAACAAAAATATTTGTTTCTATTTGACAATGTTCACTTGAATCACATTAGAACTAAAAAAAAGATACTAGTGATATCTTCAATTCAGGTTCCCTTGATTTATTACTTTACTTTAGTAAAATTTTTGGCTTGCCATAAAACAAGCAATGTGGAGTTTCTGGTGCTTTCTGAGCATGGTTCTTGCTTACAGACATTTCATTACCCAACTAGGTAACATCATTAGTTCAAGTGAGTGTCAACTTTGCTCCCTATTTATACACACTAGTTTGCCTTACAGTGTTGGTGGGGGATGTGGTTTTCTCCTTGGTCATTTCTTGATTGGGATATTTTCTGCTAGACTGTTTGCCTGGTATTAATCCCTGCTTATTTGGGTGTTGGCTACTAGACAGGATATGTTCTGATTATTTTGTTTCCTTCTTAGCTTTATACTGGTATTGGAGGCACAGTGGTTAGAATGCACTATTGCAAGCTAACTCTGCCCACAGCCAGAAGTTCAATCCTGACCGGCTCAAGCTTCAATCAGTTTTCCAACGTTCTGAGGTCAGTATAATGAGGGCCCAGATTGTTGGAGAAATATGCTGACCCCTCAGCGTGTACTATAAAGCACTATGGAGTGATATATG